GGGGTGCAGCCTGGCAGCTGGGAGCTCGCAGCAGGGCTCTTGTAAGAAAGGGAAGGGATCCAGCTGTGGCTGACACTCCATTCCGCAGGGGAAACAAAGCTCCTCAGCAGGCCCTCCTGCAGGAGGGCGCAGTGCAAGCTGAGGCAGGGCCAGAGCTGGGCCCGGCACACGTGTGCAGCAGTGGTTGTCAGGCAGCGGGCATTTCAGAAAAAGAAACAAAGCCACAGAGCCTAGTCTCCTCCCTTTGACCTCCCAAAGCTTGCCTCCCTTTGCCCTTGGGGCCAGGTTGCAGAGCACAAGATATGCAAACCCGAGAACTAGGACTACAAAATCACATTTTCTCCCTTAGCAAAGCGGGTAATCTGTGACTGGTTGGGGATTGGGGCATAGTGGGGATGCTACGAAGGTTGCCGTCACCAAGAGGACAATACAAAGAATTTGTCAAGTTGTCCCAGTCCTCCCAACCCCCATACACAGCAATTAGGCACATCATGGTAGGCACTGGGACTTCACAGAATGAAAATAACGTGTGATCCAGTATCACCTAATGGAAAAGAATAGAAAGGCATCTTCATATTAATCAGCCAGAGAAACACCACTCGCACCACTCACACACTGATGCCTACACAGAGAAGGAATCCGTGAAATACTATGCATAACCAAGATAAAAAGGCACCTCAGAAAGCAAATAAAAAATATCCATAAAACAAACTTAAAGGCATGGAAATACATGACATCAATGACAGAGAATTCAAGACTGCAGTTCTGAAAATACTCAACAAGATGCAAGAAAACACAGACAGGCAATTTAGAGAGCTCAGGAAACAATGAACAAAACGAGTACTTCACCAGAGACTGAAACTTTAAAAAGGAACCAAACAGAAATTCTGGAGATGAAGAGCTCAATAAAAGAGATCACGAATGAAATAATGTGCTTAGGAAATAGGGAAAACCAAAAGGAGGTAGGATCAAAGATACAGAAGATAGAAATCTAGAAATGACCCTGGGAAGAAGAGAGAAACTTGAGCATGAAACAGTGAAAGAGCTCTACGAGAACTAGCTAATGCCATCAGAGAGAGCAATATGAGAATAATAGGCATACTAGAAGAAAAAGAAAGGAGAAAGAAATAGCCTATTCAAACAAATAGTTGATGAGAAATTCCCAAATCCATGGAAAGAACTAGATTCTGGAATCCAAGAAGCACACAGAACACCTAGTTACCTCAATCCATATCTCCAAGGTACATTGTGTTAAAATGGTCAAAAATTAATGACAAAGAAAGAACTATAAAGGCAGCCAGGAAACAGAAGAAAGGATCCAATTAAGGAAACCCCACTAGGTTATCACTGGACTTCGCAGCAATAACTTTACAAGGCAGAAAAGTGGAATCAAATATTCAAACTACTGAAAGAGAAAACGACCAGCCAAGAATAAAATATCCAGTAAATCATCCTTCAAATATGAAGGAGAAATAAAGACTTTTCCAGACACGAGAAAATTCATCACCAGAAGACCACCATTTCAGGAAATAATCAAGGTTATTCTACCTGAAACAAAGAACAAGAGGTAACAAATCTGTAAGAAAGATCACCAACAAACTTACAGCATAAACATAATTTGTGACAACAAAAACATAAAAAAGAAGGGTAAAAGGTCTGAATTTGTAAAAAAGGATGAAGATCAGATGCATTCAAAAGAAAAAAGGTTACTGTATGTATGAAACTTTCTTTTTCCTAAGTCTAATGTTTCATAAGTCTAATGTTAAGAGGATCAAAACCCCAAACCCAACCATATATATGCTGCTTTCAGGAGACACATTTAAGATGTAAAGACAAAGGTAGAGCCCTGGCAGGTTTGGCTCAGCAGTTAGAGCGTTGGCCTATGGTCCAGAGAGACCCGGGTTCGGTTCCCGCTAAGGGCACATACCTCGGTTGCAGTTTATCCCCAGCTCTGGTTGGGTTGTGTGGGTAGCGGCCACTCGATGTGTCCCTTTCACCTCTCTCTCTCTCTCTCTCTCTCTCTCTCTCTCTTCCTCTCTCTCCCTCCCACTCTATCTGAACAAAAAATGGAAAAATGTCCTCAGGTGAGGATAAAAAAAAAAAGTCAATTATTAAAAAAAAAAAGAAAAGGTAGATTCAAAGTGAAAGGTTGGAAGATAATTCTCCAAACAACTAGCATCCATAGAAAAGTAGGTAGAGACATACCTGTATCTGACAAAATAGATTTCAAAATAACAAAGGTGAAAAGATATAAAGATGGACACTTTATAATGATAAAGGGGATGATACTACATCAAGAAGACATGCCACTTCCTAACATACATGCACCCAATCGGGGAGCAACAAAATACATAAAGGAACTGTGAACCGACCTTAAGAGAGAAAAATGCAAAAACACAATCATAGTTGGAGACCTTAATACTCAATTGACATCTCTAGATAGATCATCCAAACAGAAAATCAACAAAGAAATATTGACCTTAAATGATAGATTACACAAAATGGATATAATTGGCATCTCGAGGCTCTCATACCAGAACATCCGATGACACATTCTGCTCCAGCACACACAAAGCATTCTCAAGAGCAGACCATGCATTGGGTCACAAAATTAGCCTCAACAAATTCAAGACTGAAATGACACAAAGCGTATTCTCTGACCACAGTGCTGTGAAAGTAGAAAACAACTGCAAAAAGAAAGTAAAGAAATTCACAAATATCTTGAGAGCACAAAAATAAAACCACAAGTATACTGGCAAATAATTTTTGACAAAGGAGTCCAAAGCATGCCATGAAGAAAAGAAAGTCTCTTCAGTAAATGGTGCTGGGAGAATTGGAAAGCCACATGCAAAAGAATGAAAGTAGATTACAGTTTGTCCCCTTATACAAAAATTAATTCAAAATGGATCAAAGACCTAAATATAAGATCTGAAATAATAAAGTACATAGAAGAAAAGGGGGTGAGGGCGGTCATAATGGATAAAGGGGGCCAAGCATATGGTGACAGAAGATTTGACCAGGTGGTGGGCATACAATATACTATGCAGATCACATATTATGGAAATGTACGCTTGAAACCTATATGACCCTATTAACCAATGTCATCTAATACATTTAATTTTTTAAAAAAACAATGGAAAAGTTTTTATGACATTTGATTTTTTGGGGTATAACACCAAAAGCAAATATAGTCAAATAGGATTACACCAAATATAAAAACTCCCCCACATTAAATCAAATAATCAATAAGGTTAAAAACAACACACCCACCCACACACAAAAGCAACCTGTGGAATGGGAGAAAATTTCTGCAAAACATCTCATAAGCAGTTAATACCCAGAATACAGAAAGAATTTTTACAAAACAACTTGAAAAAAGAAGTAACACATTTTTAAAGTGGCCAAAACTACACTAATCTATAAGAAACAATGCAGGAATACACTATGGTGAAAGATGTCTCTCCAACACATGGTGCAAGAAAAACTGAACTTATGCACGCAAAAAAATAAATAAAACAAAACCGGTTTCTTATGCCATGTCCCAAAATAAACTCTAAATGGAGTAAAGACTAAAATGTAAGACTAGAAACCATGAAACACTAGAAGATAGTCAATAAACTGTCATCATTTTTAGAAATATTTTTTCACCTGTCTCCCTAGGCATAACAAACAAGAGAAAAATTCAAATAAAAGAGAATACAACAAAGTAGTTTTTGTACATACAGCAAAGGAAACCATCAACAATAGCTCTCAAGTATAATTCTAATAAAGAAACATTTAAATGATTGGAGGATTTTTTTCAGGTTTGATATATTTCTGCTATTCTTACACAATGTGTGTAGGCTGTAATCCATCTTACACACAAACACACAAAACCCTTCATTTATAAATTCAGGAACCAAAGGAAACTTGGAAAATATGCAAAGAATGACTGGTCCTTAAAGGAAACTTTTGAGATCAAGCACACCATGATTAAGAAACATGCTGAGACAGCATATGAAAAACCTAATCATGTCTAAACAAGTGCCTAAGAATTCTGCAGCTCACTTCTTCCTAATGAGAGTGCTGCTCATGAAGCTAAAAGCACAAACTGGACACAGATCTAAATGGAAAGTAAAACCACACAGTCCCAAGCAGCTTTGGACTGAACAGGGCAGAATACAAAATAATAGTGCTGGAGAAATCAGGTAACAATAGAAACTTCCCTACATGGCTGGCAATGCCCTAAGGTCGACAATGGTAGTAATTTACGGAAGAACTCTGTGAGGTAAACAGACACACTAAACTATCCTAAAATGGAGGAATTGGGAAATACAGATTGGAAATTTCTTATCTTAGTTCATGCTAAGAAAAAGGACATTTGGAAGTGAAACATAAAATTAAATCTTCTCATTTTTCAGGATGTGCCGTCATGAAATCACCCAGCCCAAACTTTGCTGGGTCTTATTTGAGGCCTCCCTAGGATTAAAAATATATCAGAAAACATGATACCCCATATCAACTTCCTTCATAAACTCCCTACATAAGACAAAAACAAAACTAAAAAGAAATGCTTAACATATAGTTCCTCAGCGACAGGCACACACTGTCCTAGGCCCCACCGCTAATGTGAGGACAGAGGTCGCGGGGCAGAAGCAGTCCCGAGAGCAGGAGGGAGCACGGGCCTGCTGGAGACGAGCTGTCCCTCTGGAGACGAGCTGTCCCTCTGTGACAGTAAAAGAAATAAAATGCTCTTAGCACAAACAGGCAAAATATTTTGGGGGCTGAGGCTGGAGCAGGGATGGAACAGAGGAAAAGAAAAAAGAGGAAACTCACTAACACAACAGGGTGGTGACTGTGGGGGGGCAGTGGAAGAAGGTATGGGGGGATAAATGGTCATTGAAAAAAATAAAATAAGAGTCCTTCCACGGAAGCACAGCTTTCCAAACCACACCGAAGGTCTGGCTTCCTTCCTGACCCTTGGACCTCACCTTGTCATCTGCTTCCTCATCCCCACCTACCTTGGCGGATGGAGAATGTGTTGCTTCCTTTCACATCCCAGAGCTCTTTCAGATGCTCCAAAAAGGGGGCCAGATCTGGCGTAGAGACAGTGAAGCCTGTTTACCAGAAAAAAGAACATGAGTTTTATATTCTCCCATTTCCAACCCAGTCTGTGCTCCGATGAGAAGACTTGTAGAATATTGGAATATCTACTCTAGAAAATGATTTTCCAAAACTGTTCTCTGGGAGCACCTTAATCATTCCAGATGACAGTCAGACTTCAGACACTGAGCAGCTCCTACTTCCAAAGCCTTTCTTTCCTACACCCTCAACCATTCAGTCTGTTCCTTGACAGCAGGGATCTGAAACTTTACCACACAAAGCAGAAGCTCCCAAGAAACATTCTTCTAAAGAAAGAAGCAAAACCCTGCAGGTGGAGAATGGACTCTGGAAGGGTCATCCTCACCCAGGGAGACCAGGCTCCTGTAGTTCTCCAACATCACATCCAGGTACAGCACCCGCTGAGCTGGGCCCAGGCATTCCCACTCCTCCTGAGAGACATCTACGGCCACATCCCTGAAGGTCAGCGGTCCCTGACACAAAAGACACAATTACCAAAGGGCCACACACAGAGTTCATAATGTAACCCAACATGAAAACAGTGTTAGGAGAAGTGGTTTTGACCTAGGAGAGTATCTTGAATTAGCCAATAAGGTGATTTTGACCCAGTAATATTCTCTGATACATTTTAAAACACTGGAAATGAGGTTGACACATGTCCACAAATCCATTACAGAGACTCTACTTTTCAGGAAAATAAACTTTAAAATTAAGGCATCGACACAGGCATAAGGATTTTTCAGTGTGCATTTGTATCATTCAGTACCAGTTGTTAATCTTCCTCAGCTGGAAAAGTCATAGTGAGCTGGAAGTGTAAGTACCTCAAGTTTAATATGAACAACAATGAACTAGTTTTGTGAAAATGCAGGTTCTGATTCAGGAGTTCTGAGGCAGGGCCTGTTTCCACATGGGGGACACGCTCACCAATGACACCAAGGTCTCTGGTCCATATATCATACCTCTGAACAGCACAGAAAACAAAACACAGGAAAAAATTAACATGTGACTTTGAACTGAAAGACTTGCAGTTCTCATGGAACAGAAAACATAGCAACTGCAATCCTATTGGAAAATGTACTATAAGGAATCTGAGAACAGGACTATTCCTCCTGTCATGAGAATATTCTATGAAACACATAGTAAAGGGTAGGCCTTGAGTTTTACTCCAAACTTGATCTACAATTTTTCAGACGAACACAGGCCAATGTGCATAAGGAAACCTACTGAAAGTGCACACTAGTTTCTGTGACTGAGAACAACAAAGACATTTTAAGCAGAGGAAGACAAAACAACTCACATGTTAACCTTCCGTGAGCAGAGAGAGACATATATATGGGAATTAGGTACAACTGAAAAGTGATAGAAAACGGACTTTTAACATCCATAAAATCAAGACTAGTTTGCAGTTCTGTAAATCTCATGCATCTATTTGTGAATGACACACTCTGTATTTCATAAACAAAATAAGGAGTGGGACACACAGTATGACAAAAAAGAAGTTAGAACTATTGTTTCTTAGTCTTTTATTACTTTGAGAAGTTTTATGTATCATTAGTGAGAGCTATATTAGAAATGTAAGTGAATGAACGTACATTAATAACATGATTCTTTGAAAACACAAACAGTGATCACGCACAGTGGCTGACGTGAGTGCAGAGTACCCAACACAAGCGTGCGAGGACGAGGCCTGGATGATTAAATCCTCCACAGCAAAAGCCAATGCTCTCCAGGAAATAAAAGTAGGACCTTCATTTTCCAAAGCTAACAGGAGCTAAGGAGAGGGGAGTTTCCACATGAAATGTAATTTTTTTTTTTTTTTTTTTTTTGCACATCTCTCAATAAATCCCCCCTAGGCCCTTGGTAACAATTAAGGGAAACTACTAACTACAGTGAAGAGAGCACTTCAAGCGAGTATCAGCCAGGTGGATGGGACAGTGGACATCAGGTGACTGAGGCACCCGGAAGACATGTCCTCACCACTGTGACATTATTGGGGAAAATACATGAATAAGAAATACATAATATAAAAATGATCATAAAAAAAGACATTAGATTTTACCATTGTCAATCCACAATTCCCATGTTTGACTCTAACAGTACTTTTTTTTAAAAATATTTTTTCTTTATTACTTTTAGAGAGAGGAAGGAAGAGGGAGAGAAGAAACATCAGTGAGAGAGAACATCAACTGGCCGCCTCCTGCGTGCCCCCTACTGGGGATCGGGCCCACAACCTGGGCATGTGCCCTGACCAGGAATCAAATGGGCCACCTCTTGGTGCAGGGTCGACACTCAACCACAGGGCCTCACTGGCCGGGCTCTAGTGGTGCTTTTAAATAGCACGTCTTTCTCGCCAATCTAATGAGCAAGCCTCTTCTAACTACTCATCTTTGTCAGATGTTTCTCGGTTATTCTGGCCAGTAACGCCCCCCTGGTTACATGTGCATTTTCTTAGTCCTGATCGACAGAGCTGATGCTGCAGACATAGAAACCTGACACCTACGTTTCCCCTTGTCACCAGTGCCAGAGCTCTGAGCTCTCCCGATAGAGACGCTGGACATGGCTGCCTTCCAGTTTGATGTCAGAGAGCGGACATTTTCAGTATTTAAAGGTCATCAATCCCAGGTAAGAATTTTTCATGCCCTCAGGGAGCTCCGGGACAAGGAGAGAAGCATTCTAAGAGCTGACCTTGACCATCATAAGAAAAGGGAGAAAAGAACTGGCTGAAAACCACCTGACTAGACAAAAACAACAGAGGTAGAAGAATTAAAGTCTGCAGGTTCTAAATCCACGTATTAGGAAGAAAAGCCTCTAACCTGGAACAGAACATTTACCTGAGAAGCGGCCATGTCATCCCGGGCCTGGCCCTGGTCCTGCTCTGGGTTGTTTTCTGAGATGATAGGATGTCGGGGAGTCATGTCTGCATCTTGAGAACGTGTCTTCAAAGCGCCAGCACAACCCATTGCACTGCTTCCACTACACGCGGTCGAGGCCTGGAGACGCTGACGAGGCCACCTGCCCTCGTCCTTTACCGCCGGAGACTCGGGAACTGAGCTTCTACACGGAGAACAGATCGTGAATGTTTCCTTTCCTCTCCTCCCACGCTCTCTCCTCTCAGACATCCAAAAACTCCTATAGCGATGGAGTGTGCGCTGCCCTCCTGAACCCCTCAACCCAGCAGAGGACCCCTGTTATCCACTCTGACCAAAGCCTGCTCCCCAGTCTCACAAGCATCTGGTGGTCCTCTGGCTTCCCCTGTGCTCACCTGAAAATCACCTCTAGCACCTCAGTAAAATAATAATGGTGCCTCATGCCCTCCAGTGAGGCTCAGTGGACTGAGCGGCGCCCAGGGACTGAGAGTCCCAGTTCCACTCGCGGTAAGGACATGTGCCTGGGTTGCAGGCTCACATCCAGTAAGCGGTATACAGGAGGCAGCCAAGCAACCTCTCTCTCTCTCATCGATGTTTCAATCTCTCCCTTCCCCTCTCTTTAAAAAATTAATAAAAACATATTTAACAATAATAAATGATAATAATGATGTGCTTCACTGAGCATTGTTGTCTAACTCTGGAGAAGGACTAGGATGATGTCATTTCTCAAATCTCCTCAAGTGATCTACGAGAAACAGGGACGAGAACATTTAGCTTTAATGAGCATGTAGATCTTTAAGGAATCGGCCACACTCTAAGTCATAGCTCTGCGGGTCTCTGTTCCCTGGTGGTGGTGACCCTGCTCCCTCGGGGCTGCTTTCAGTTCTCCTGGGCGACAGATATCAGATCCAGCACACCTGAGACCTCTGGGTGGTGTGAGGGCTTGAAGCAGGAACTTCTAGAAGGGCAGATTCCGGGTCTTATTTTCTTCTTTTCCAGGAAATTACATAGAATTATTTTGAAAACATAGATGATGAACACAGGATTTAGGTCAATACAGTCCACCCTTCAACATTCTCAGAGACTGTGCAAGAGGGACTTGAGGGAAACATCTCCTTTGTGGCTCAGTCACTAATTCAACAAATCACATATGGAAGGAAAAAGCTGAACTTTCGAAGAACTCATGAAATAAGGTTCTGTTGAAATCACTAACACCCTTACCAAGTTAACACTGAAATAGCCTATTATTTACTAATGAATGTTTCTTTTCTTTCTTTCTTTTTTTGCATTTATCTTCAAATAGAGCAGGAGGGAGAGAAGGAGGAAATGAGAGAGAGAGAAACATCAGTGTGAGAAAGACACATCGACTGGCTGCCACCCACACAACCCCAACTGGGGCCAGGACAAACCACAACCAAGGTACGTGCCCTTAGCGAGAACCGAACCCGGGACTCTCCAGTCCACGGGCTGAAGCTCTAACTGCTGAGCCAAACAGGTCAGGGCTACTAATGGATGTTTCAACATATGATAAACAGAAAGGATGAAGGGCTCAGCATCTAAACTGGACGCAATACACTTTAAGAGAAAATGATTTCAGATTTTTTTATGTAATGACTCTGAGGCAGGACTGAAAAGTCAGGAAAGATCCCCACAGGTGGGGTGAGGAAGGAGGCGCTGACATTCTCTAGCCAGAGCCCCACCTCCAGGCAAGAACAAAAGCAAACAGTTCATGGCAGGATATCCCTGCTGTGTTCCTGAAGTCACTAAAACAAGCCCCCCTCCAACCAGAAGGCAGAGTCAGAATTTGGCTGCCCACCTATCTTTGGAAACACACAAAGTCCCAAAGGTCTACCTGACCATACCCTTACTGTTCACAAGGGGCACCAGGGCCCTGGCCTCTTTCCTTTTTCTACCTTAATAAAATGTGCCTTATTCTTACTCCTCCTTAACCTTGAAATTTTCCCTGCACCAATAATGGACCTGGAGGTTGCCGGACACTCGAAGGATCCTGGGCAAGGCCAGCTTCAGACACTGACGTGGTCTGGTAACAACTTCTTTGGTCAAAGTTTTTAAAAAGTTGACACTACATTATATGTAGAAAACATGATAAGAGCTGGTTATGAGATATCACCAATGCTTATTTCAGAAGTTAATGATGATTTACACAAGATAAGATATTCAACAGACTAAGATTTATCTGTTTGTTTTTTAAATTTTTTTTCCCTTATTGATTTCAGAAAGAGGGGAAGTGACAGGGGGAGAGAGAGAGAAACATCGATGAGAGAACACTGATTGGCCCACTATGGCATGCCCCCCACTGGGGATCTGGCCCACAACCTGGGCATGTGTCCTGACCGGGAATCGAACTAGCGACCTCTTGGTGCATGGGTCCACGCTCAACCAGTGAGCCATACCAGCCGGACTATCTCAGCTTGTTTTTTAAAAATGAGTTAGATGTGAGACACAGAAGGAAAAAAGTAAATCCACTGGAGAGAAAAAAAGAAGCCTCAATGCTTTTAATATTTCTTGAAAAGACATTATTTCTTGTCCTAGGTCACCTCTCTCCTGCCATCCCAGGACATGAAATGGGACATGACTTACAGACAAACCTCTGCCCTCTAAGTGAATAAGGAACGCAATTGGAAGCAAATAATTATAAAACACACACGCCTTATACACAGAACATTTGTAATTCTCACTCAAGTTATTTTCACTTCAGCAATTCAGCAAATGTTAAATGCAATATATAAAGCCACAAGCCCAGGTATCACAAGGAAATCAGCCACATCTCAACGCTCTTCCTGATTAGGGTTTCCCTTCTTCCGTGCTACCAGGGGTTTCTGTTATGGCTGTTTCTGCTCTACAGTTTCTCTGAGCTGTTGTCTTTACCTGTGTTTCCCATCCCCCCTCCCCGTTGGCTCCTCTTTTCTCTATTTCTGTCCCTACACCTGTTTCAAGAAACTCTTGACACCTACTTCATCTCTGATTGCTCCATCTCCCAGGTCCTTCTGATGGCTGCCGTCTGCACGTGTCTGATCCCTGTCCACCCCTCCAGGCCGCTCACCTCTGCCGTCCGCACGTGTCTGACCCCTGTCCACCCCTCCAGGCCGCTCACCTCTGCCATCTGCACGTGTCTGATCCCTGTCCACCCCTCCAGGCCGCTCACCTCTGCCATCCGCACGTGTCTGATCCCTGTCCACCCCTCCAGGCCGCTCACCTCTGCCGTCCGCACGTGTCTGACCCCTGTCCACCCCTCCAGGCCGCTCACCTCTGCCGTCCGCACGTGTCTGACCCCTGTCCACCCCTCCAGGCCGCTCACCTCTGCCGTCCGCACGTGTCTGATCCCTGTCCACCCCTCCAGGCCGCTCACCTCTGCCGTCCGCACGTGTCTGATCCCTGTCCACCCCTCCAGGCCGCTCACCTCTGCCGTCTGCACGTGTCTGATCCCTGTCCACCCCTCCAGGCCGCTCACCTCTGCCGTCCGCACGTGTCTGATCCCTGTCCACCCCTCCAGGCCGCTCACCTCTGCCGTCCGCACGTGTCTGACCCCCTGTCCACCCCTCCAGGCCGCTCACCTCTGCCATCCGCACGTGTCTGATCCCTGTCCACCCCTCCAGGCCGCTCACCTCTGCCGTCCGCACGTGTCTGATCCCTGTCCACCCCTCCAGGCCGCTCACCTCTGCCGTCCGCACGTGTCTGATCCCTGTCCACCCCTCCAGGCCGCTCACCTCTGCCGTCCGCACGTGTCTGATCCCTGTCCACCCCTCCAGGCCGCTCACTCCTGAGGCCCCCTCAGTCTTTTCTGTTACCCACAGTGGGTTCTCAGTGCTGTCTCCAGGCTCTGTCATCTCCCACCCCTTCTGTCCCTGCACTGCTCCCCAACTCTTCTAGGCTCCCCAGCTCTTCTCAACTCCCCTTCTCTTCTCCGTTCCCAACTCTTCTCCTCCCCAACTGTTCTGGGAACCACCCTTCCCGCACTGCCTACCTACCCGCTCACCTGGGCCCGTCTCCCTACCTCACCTGTCCTTGTCTCTCGCGGCTCCTGCGCATGTCTCTCTGCCTCCCTCCTCTGGCTCCTCCGAGTCACCCCCTCCTGCAGGCCCCCCCACACCCCAGTGGCCCTGCCTCGCACCGCCCCCGTCTCTCCTTCCCTCTCAGGGTCCCTCCCAGCCTCCCTCTGCAGCTTCCCAGCCCCGCGAGAGGCGACCTCTGGTGACCCGGTGCTCCCCGCCCTCCGGAGTCCCAGCCCCCGGAGCGCGCTCCCGGGACAGGAGGGAGGCCAGGTCTCAGGCCGGGAGGGGCGCGGACGGTGGGCATCGCTCGGGACCCTCAGCCCCACCCGCCAGGACGGAGGGCCCACCGGGCGGGTTTGGGGCAGGAAACCCAGCAGCCTGGTGCCCCGTGCCCCAGGCGGAAAGACGGGGCTGAACCCCTTACCGTCCGGACGAACGCGGCCTCCGGCGGGCAGTCGCAGGCCGGTGCTCCCGGGATGGTTCTGGCGGCAGGTGGCTGGAGAGCCGGCCGTCAGCACCGGCACGCGGCCTGGGGACTCGGGAATGTGAGCGGACAGGACCCGGCTCAAGTCCGAAAGACTGAGGACTGGAAAACCCGCAGGGTTCGGGCCTTCTGATTCCCAAGCCGATTCCCGGGCTGCCGGAGACTGCGCATGCGCCGGGCCCACGGGCGGGACCTGAGCGGAGCAGCGCTTCTGCCCTGGGCGCGGAAAAGTGGGTGCGGCCCCTGCGCAGGGTGCGGCCCAGCCGCCTCCTTCCAGCGCCCGCCTTGGTGACAGCCTTTCCTGGGTCAGGCCTTTGACTTACCAACATCATGAGTCCCAATTTATGATTTCGTTTCAAAATTAATATTATGATGACCATCCAAGGAGTCAGTTTTGCATAAGGTCTTGACCACACACGTTGTATTTTGAAGATTTCTCCTAGACGTGTATTTATTCGGTCATGTTTGACTCTCGGTTGTATTCATTACATTTTAACATCTCTGCCACCATGAATTTCTGACGCTATTGAACCTGCATCCTGCCTAAAGTCTTTCCAAATCCATTACATTTGTAGTTTTTCCTCCTGAGTAACTGCGATATTTGTTCATCAATGAAGAACAAATCAATATTTTCCCATTTTCATTGCAAAGGTTGCTTTTCATACTAGGAAAAAATCTTTTCACTTGTGAAAACTGAAAACCAATTTTGTTGGATTTCTTAACTTGGTTACACTTGTAATATGTATCCCCAGTTTGAATCTTCAAAGTGGACCCTGATGTAACTGAAAGCTTAATCCAATGTTTTCATCAAATCCTCCCATGCATTTGTTTCCTGAACATTTTTTTTTTCTATAAATACAATGTTGAGAATAGTTTTGGTGATATTTGGAAAGTAGATTATGGAGATTATACATTGTAATATAATATTGCAATCGGTCTATTTGGGAAGAAAGAGATTTCAATGTGGA